CAGTATGTAGTGGTGCGATTTCATTCGGGAAACACTTGCTTCCGTCCAACGATTTATGAGCGATAATATGACCCCACAGCAGTCAGACTTCTTGTTCGCTTGTTCTTTGGAAAACATTGGACTAAACCGAAGTGAATCGACTCGATGCATGTGATGACTGGGCACCATATAAAAGGTGGCTGTATAATTGCTGAGGGCTGGAATGACAGTTGGTTCTGAACGGTTGCACTGACAGTAGCTATGACCAGCTGTTTCATCTTCTGCAATCATAAATCGTTCCTCTGTTCACTAAGTATGCTCTTTTCACGTGAGCGGTGTGTGCAGTACCCCCTTTGTTGTGACTATCATTATCATACAAAGCTAAAACAGTATGAACCGTAAAGATCAATTATATGGCCAATCCGATTATTCTCTGATCATGACCGATGTCAATTCGGTCAAAACGTCGAAATTCTTGTAAATAAAACTTTTTCCGTTTTCTCGTGCTGTCAGCCATGGAATCAAAAGGACCATCAACTCTTTGAATCATTTTTGTGCTTTGCTTCAGCAAATTTCAGATTTGTCAAAGATAATGGACAGTATTAATTGACAGTACCCGTGTGTGCCAAGTTTGACATTTAATCTTCCTCTATCCACTTTCTTTTCGTCCCAGTTCTCTCGCGTAGGAAACTTGCGTAGAGTTATGATCTCATGTTAGGGTACGAACGAGCCTCTTGCATGATCAAACTGGAAACCGTTTCCCAATGAACTAATCTTTATGATCAGGCGGAATAGCATGACTTTGCTTAATGTGTTTATATTTAGCTGCAAATGCATGCTCGTTGTCTCTTGACAGTACACACTGCTTGCAACACTTTCACTCTCATCATCACCTGTTTATCTCGTTCCTAGCAAACTCTTCTCCAGTTGGATTTTAATCTGATCAGCATCTGCATAATGTGCTTCTGATGCCAACTGGCTCAGAGACTACTGGAAATGTTCCATCCGAATTTTTAAGTCGTTTGATGATCTCCGCGACATCTGTGGGATCAGCTGTAATCAATTATCATTTAACTCTGGTAGCAGGTATTCAGAAATATCACGTGGTAAGACTGAAGCATGTGATAGCTAAGTCGCCACTGCAGTGATATCACTCACTGACTGAAATTCGTCGTTCATCGATGAGAGAGATTATTACTCTCCAGTCCGCATCTGGTTCAACAAAGATCATTCACG